GGTGTGCACATCAGACATACACTCTGGTGCACACGTCAGACATACACTCTGGTGCACACGTCAGACATACTCTCCGGTGTGCACATCAGACATACCCTCTGGTGTGCACATCAGACATACACTCTGGTGTACACTTCAGACATACACTCTGGTGCACACATCAGACATACACTCTGGTGCACACATTAGACATACACTCTGGTGCACACATCAGACATACACTCTGGTGCACACACCAGACAAAAACCCTGGTGCACACATGAGACATACACTCTGGTGCCCACACCAGACATACACTCTGGTGCACACATCAGACATACACTCTGGTGTGCACATCAGACACACACTCTGGTGCACACATCAGACACACACTCTGGTGCACACATCAGACACACACTCTGGTGCACACATCAGACATACACTCTGGTGTGTATATCAGACATACACTCTGGTGCACACATCAGACATGCACTCTGATGTGCACATCAGACATGCACTCTGGTGCACACATCAGACATACACTCTGGTGCACACATCAGACATACACTCTGGTGCACACATCAGACATACACTCTGGTGCCCACACCAGACATACACTCTGGTGCACACATCAGACATACACTCTGGTGCACACATCAGACACACACTCTGGTGCACACATCAGACACACACTCTGGTGCACACGTCAGACATAGACTCTGGTGCACACATCAGACATAGACTCTGGTGCACACATCAGACACACACTCTGGTGCACACATCAGACACACACTCTGGTGCACACGTCAGACATAGACTCTGGTGCACACGTCAGCCATAGACTCTGGTGCACACATCAGACATACACTCTGGTGCACACATCAGACATACACTCTGGTGCACACATCAGACATACACTCTGGTGCACACATCAGACATACACTCTGGTGCACACATCAGACATACACTCTGGTGCACACGTCAGACATACTCTCCGGTGTGCACATCAGACATACACTCTGGTGCACACATCAGACACACACTCTGGTGCACACATCAGACATACACTCTGGTGCACACATCAGACATACACTCTAGTGCACACATCAGACATATACTGTTGTACACACAAACGTACACTCTGAGAAACAACATTAGGAACAAGCTACCAAGTGTACGGCAAAATAAATCACATATTGTTAAGATAAACACGGAACCTCTTAGTTGGTTCTTTGTCGAAATTTTATTACTCACAAATTAATACAAACATGATTTGTAAATATGTACATTTAAACATGCCAATATAAATTCAATGGAATGATCAGTTATGAACCCCTCAGAACTGAGGTTAGAAGGTAGTTTCAGACCGGAGGTTCAAGCCTTGATCACTCCACTCCACTGAACTGTTATGATGTCTCATTGCCTGTTTTCAAAATGAATTATATATTTCAAGGTACAACTTGAAAAAAATGTATTATAATAAAAAAAAAGCTGGCGTTAAGCTGGTATAGATAACTGAGGTTAAAAGAAATTATAAATGGTCAAATAAACGTTGAAAGTTAACATTATCACAATATAATGCATCGCACACATGCTAATATCGTTGTTACTATAACAGATGTGGCATGATAGTAATGGGTAATATTCTCTATTTATACATCGTGTGAATCAGATCGCTTACTTGGTAGCTTCCTGTACCAGCTCCATCATATAGTATGGAAGGTACCAAGTTCAGAAGCATTGTTGTCATCCGGCAGGTTTGGTAACCAAATAATCTCTATAAAGAGGCCAAGTGTCTATTTCTGTGGCGTATTTGCTAGGTTCTCTCACCTAGGATGCGGCTCTCAGTGGTCACTTTACTCCTGGTAAGTGGCGGACCTACATTTCTTGGGCCCTGAAGCTTGAAGTGTTATGGGGGCCCTTGACAACCAGCAAGAACTAGGCCTACATGATACTTTAATAATATTTTAATTTTTATTTTTTTTTGTATTGAATTATACTATATTATTAATATTATTATTTTTTTAAAACTCCTTCTTATACAGTAGACCAAAAAAATTTAAGCAATGTGGACTGAGGTGGCTTCTGGAGCCCCTTCAGGATTACGGTTCATGAAGCTTAAACTTTATTACTTTCACAGTAGATCCGCCCTTGTTCTTCGGTATCCAGTTACTGCTGGGTGAACAAGGACACCAGGTGGAACAGGAGGGCTCTTCGATCACGTACACTTCACTAGCATCGAAGTACATTTCTTGAAAGTCATGGTGACACATTAGTTGAAATTTGGGCCCACTCTTATTCTTTTTTTTTTGGGGGGGGGATGGGATTGCATCCTCAGATAAAAATAAAACTCTTCACAAATTTTGCTAAAGAAATTCATTATTCAAAGTTTGTTTCTCAGTCGTGTAAGAATTAGAATTTGGGAGGTGGCTCATAATAGATTCCTTGTAGTTGTGTGGCTTGGTATCGAGAACCTCCCTCTTCAGAATCGCTTTCAAGGTAACCCGTATCATGAAATTGTGGAACTGGTTCCTCGTACCAGCTTTCTCGTTCCCTTACATATTGGTAGTCTGGCTGTGCGTGGTAATCACTGAGTTGTGATGATAGATTTGTATGTTCGTAGTCAGCAGGTAGGTTATATGTTGGCTGGAACTGAGAATAAGGCTCCTCGTTGTAATTTCTTCTTTGGTATGATTCTTCATACGAAGTTTCTTTTGCACATAATAAATGAGGGTGAAACTCTGAGTCCCTGTAATTATTGTCATTGTTAAATATGGATTTAAATTGAGTCCACTGGCTGTTCATACCAGTGTTCTTGTTCCCACATGGACTGGCACTTAGGATCTACCTCGGAATAATTGAATTTCGATGTTGATACTTGGTCTTCATATTTAGCTGCTTGGTACTGTGACTCACACTCTTGATACTCATTTTCCTGTATGTTTAAACCCAGTGATAGACGATCTGACCCTTCATAGTAAGTTTCTTGATCATATGATGTTCTAGGTTTAATATCAATCCTTTGTAATAATTTTCTTGATCCCACGTGAACTGGGATTCGCATTTGAATCTCTGTAATGATCTTGTCTGGTCGTCGACTGGAATTTATGTATCTTGTGATCGTCTTTGCGTTCACTTGTGGAGCGCCATAAATCACTTTCTCCTTCACACATGAAATGGTAGTCATAATTTTCTCGTTCACATATTGAGTGTGATTCATCATTATTTACTTTTTTAGATGATGAATGGTATTCGTAAATTCTTTGTTCATACATCGGTAGACACTCATCATATTCATCCAGCTGGAAACTTACTTCGTGAGAACGATGGCCTTCAGAAAACGATTTGTCATTCTTTTCTTGCTCACAAGCATGTTGTGTTTCTTCATCGGTGTCTTCACATATGGAATGTGATTCATCGTTGTTTTCCTGTTCATATCTGGAATGGAGTTCATCTTTATTTTCTTCACATGTGGATGATGAGTCATCAGCATTTTCTTGATCACATGTAGATCGACATTCATAACTTTTCTGTTCATTGTCTTCTTCTCTTGAAGATTGTGATTCATGAATGCTCTCTTTTTCACATATAAAATGCAATTCATCATTATTTTCATTGCATTTGGATAGCGATTCATCGTTCTCTTCTTCACATGGGGTTTGAAATCCATCGTCTCCTTCACTTATGGATTGTATCTCAAAACTTAACTCATCATTGATGCTCTTTGGGTCATATTTGGATTTAAATTCAAGAATTACTCCAGAAGGATTTTGAGTGCAAATGAACTGCGATATAGGAAGTGAATGATCAGAACAAGTTTGTGGGTCATGTAAGGATTGGGTATCATTAAGCAACTTAATGCAGTTGTCTTGTTGATCCCTGCCAGGATCACACACTTCAAATTGAGTAACTGGTTGTTCATACCAGTTTTCTCGTCCTACGATATGGTACATCGTATCTGGAATGTAATCATTAGAGGTGAGTGTAGTGACTGGTTCCTCACAGTCAGCTACCAGGTTGTAGGTTGACTGCAGCTCAGGATAAAGTTCTTCGTCATTGTCTTGAGTACTTTTTATTGAGTATAGATTATCTGATTGATAATCTTCCCTCGTGATACGATATTCAGCACTTGGGATACAATTTATCGTTTCTTCCCACGTTAGTGTAGATGAAGAGACTGGTTCTTCATATTTACCTGTCTGGTCACATATTGCTTGGTACTGAGCATCAGAACCTTCACAAACCCTAGTATTTAGATCCTGTGGTAGAGAATCTGACTCTTCATATTCATTTCCTCGATCGTATATTAATTTGGATTTAGTGTTTAAGTCTTTGTAATCATTTTCTTGATACCACAAGAATTGGGACTGGGTGCCTAATTCTTCACTGTTTTCAAGTTTGTTTGTGAAAGAAGATTCAAACTGCAAGTTCTCAGTGTTTTCTTGATCACCACTGGCGTGGGAGTCATCATTGTTCATGTGTTCACACATGAACTGGGATTCACAATTTTCTTGCTCATTCGTGAATCGTGATTCATCGATGATTGCTTCATATGTTGACTGCAATTCATTATCTTCTTCAGGTGATAATTGCAGTTCACCATTTTCCTCACATCTATTCTGACATAAATTATCATCATCTAAGGACCCAGACTCCTCATTAATGCTGTCATGTTCACCTGTAGATTGGAATCCATTGAAGTATTCTTGATCAAGTGTGAATTGGGGTTCAGACTGCACACTTATATACTGTAATCTATTATTCGTGTCTTCGTATGTCGATTGCATCTTATAGGTATTTTCTTCATTGTTTTCTTCGTATATTGGCAGTGATTCCTCACTGTTTTCATGTATAAGTGCATTATGCATTTCATCATTTTCTTCACATAGAGTTTGCAGATCTTCGTTTTCTTTTTCAAATGCATTTTGTGATTCATTACTTTCTTGTTCTCTTGTGGATTCCAGCAGAGAAAACACTTTTTCATCAATGCTCTGTGGGTCGCTTTTGATTTTAGATTCACGATAGGTTTCATTAGGTTTTTGGGTACAAATTCCTAGTGATAGAGAATTGAACGATCACAGTATATACCCGGGTCACACAGGGACTGAACTGGGGAAGCGATTCTAACTTGTTTCCTTGTGTTTGTGTGATCTGGAATTCAGGACTTGATTCACTGCTTTTCCTTTCAAGCTGACATACATCAAGTGATTGAGGAATTAACTGGTTAAACCAGTGTTCTTCTTCCCTTATGGTATCTGGTATGTAATCACTGGATTTCAGTGTCGGGGCTGATTCCTCACAGTCAGATACTGTGTTGAATGTCGACTGCAGCTGAGGATCAAGTCCCTCGTCATTGACAAGAGTATTTTTTGTTGGGAAAAGATTATTTGAGTCTTCAAACTCACTTTCTTGTCCATATAGTGATAGATACTGAACACTTGAGTCCTTATAATTATTGTCATACTCGTACTCTCGTTCCCAGGTGGAATAGCACTCAATTTCTGGATTATCATTTGTAGCTTCTTTACGTATTAGAGTTGGTGAAGGTACTGACTCTTCATATGCTACTGCTTGCTCACATATTGCTTGTAACCGAGAATAAGAGCCTTTATGAATAATTCCCGTGCAGTTTTGATCCTGTGATAGACGATTAAACTCCTCGTAATCATCTTCTTGATCATATATTGATTTGGACTGTATATCATACGATTTGCAATCGTTGTCGCGTTGCCATATGAGTCGAGACTGGCAGTCAGACTGTTCATAATGGTCTTGTTCACCTGTGGATTTGGATTCGTGAAATAATTCTTCATTTTTTTGTTTATCTGTGAAAGAAAGTTCAACTTGCAAGTCTTCATTGTTTTCTTGACTACTGATGATCTGGGTGCCGTCAATGTTTTCTTGTTCACACACTAACTGGAAGTCACATATGTCTTGTTCACATGTGAATTTTAATTCATCGTTGATTTCTTCACATGGTGAGTGTGTTTCATCATTTTCTTTGCTTGGGGATTGCATCTCAACATTTTCTTCACATAATGACCTTGACTGACCCAACGTGACCTGACTGTTGTCTAGAACGCATGTAAAATGCAATTTTCCATTATTTATCTCGCATGAGGTTTGCAATTCATTTTCTTTCTCATATTTTAAACGTGATTCATAATATTCTTGCTCATCTGTAATTTGTGATATACCATCGTGTTTGATTGTGGGTTCCATCTCAAGATACATATTTTCATTATTGCTCTTTTGGCTACATGTGGAATTGAATTCAGGGTACGATACTCCTCCAGGTATCAATTGATCGACATATATTTCTGGGTCACAGAGTGATCGTAGCTGAAGTGACTCAGTGAAGTTTTCATGTGTGTCTGATTTTTGTGACCCAGGAACTGACTCTTTGCTCTTCATTTCAAGGCTACACATATCATGAGATCGAGAAACTGACTGAGCATACCAGTACTCGTGTTCCTTTATGGAATGTTTGGTTGGATCTTGCACGTAATCTTCAGATTCCAGTGTGGTGGCTGGTTCCTCACCATCAACTGGTGGGTTGTAGGTCCACTGTCTCAAAGCCTCATCCTTTTCTTGAATGCTTCTCGTTGGAGACAGATTACTTGATTCTTTATACTCAGTTTCTTGCTCATGAAATGACTGGGATGTAAGGCTTAATTCTCTGTATCCATTTTCATTGCTAAATATTTCTTGAAATTGAAGGTCTGGTTGTTCATGCCAGCGTTCTGGCTCCCAGGCGAAACCACACTCAGTTTCTGGATATTTATTAATAGCTTCTTGGTCTGCTACTGCTTGGTACTGAGAATCAGATCCTTTTTGAACAACATCCTTTGAGTTTTGATCCAGTGATACAGGATCTGACCCTTCATAGTCGATTTTTTGTTCATCTCTTGATTTGGATTGCATGTCTAATGATTTATAATAATTTTTCTGATGCCATGTTAACTGGGATTGGCAGTCTGATGGTTTGTCAAGATCTTGTTCACTTGTGGGTCTGCATTCATGATCCTGTTCATCATTATTTTCATGTTTACCTGTGAAAGAAGGTTCAGGTTGCAATTTCTCAGTGATTTCTTCGTCACTTGTGTAGGAGTTATCGTTGTTTTCTTGTTCACTCATGAACTGGGAATCATAGTTGTCTTGTTTATTCGTGAATCGCAAATCTTCGTTGATTCCTTCACGTGTTAAATGTAATTCATCATTTTCTTCACATACATTTAGAAATTCATTTTGTTCATATAAGGACTGTGATTCACAAATGTTTTCAGGTTCATTTGTGAATCCGGATTTATATTTTTCTTGGTCACATGAGAATTGTGATACATTAAAGCATTCTTGCTCAAATATAAACTGGGGTTCAGTCTGCAATACATCACTGTTCTCTTGTTCACATGTATATTGCAATTCTTCACATGCTGATGGCAACTTGTAGGTATTTCCTTCAGATATGATTTGGCTTTCATTCATTTTCCTGTTCACATATTGACCGTGATTCTTGACTGTTTTCTTGTACATATGTAAAATGCGATTCGTCATTATTTTCTTCATGCAAAGTTTGTGGTTCATTTTCTTTTTCATATTCAGATTGTGATTTATCATTGTCTTGTCCACTTGTGATTTGTGATTCATCAATTTTTTGTATACTTGTGGGTTCACAATCAGCTTCTGGGTTGTATGTCGACTGCAGCTGAGGATAAAGTTCCTCATTATTTTCTTGAAAACTTTTTGTTCTAGACAGATTGCTTGATTTTTTATACTCAGGTTCTCGTTCGTGAAGTAATTTGAATGCAACGCTTGATTCGTTGAATCTATTTTCATTGCTAAATATTTCTTGGAGCTGAGAGTCTTGTTGTTCATACCAGGAGAAATGACACTCAGGACCTGGGTTGTCATGGCTATCTTCTTTATACATTAGTGTTGTAGGTTCTTGGCCTGCTGTTGCTTGGTACTGAGCATCAGATCCTTCATAAACACTCTCCTTGGAGTTTTGATCCAGTGATAGAGGATTTGACCTTTCATAGTCAGTTTCTTGATCACATGATGGTCTGGACTGAGTGTCTGATGCTCTCCAATCAGTTTCTTGGAGCCATGTGAACTGGGACTGGCAGTTTGACAGTCTGCAAAGGTCTTGTTCAATAGCCAGTTTATAGTCATGATTTAATTCTTTATTTTCTTGTTTAGCTGTGAAAGAAGGATCAGTTTCCAATTCCTCACTGTTTTCTTGATCACTTGCGAAGTGGAAGTCATCATTGTTTTCTTGATCACTTGCTAGGTGGGAGGATTGATTATTTTCTTGATCACACATGAACCATGAGTCAAAAGTGTTTTGCTCGTGTGTGATTTGTGATTCTCCAGTGATTGCTTCACATGCTGACCATGAGTCATCATTTTCTTGATCTCTTAAGGATTTGGAATTATCATTTACACTTAAAAATTTAGATTCACTGACAAGTTCAAATGTGAATTGAGGTTCAGTTTGTGATTCATCATTTTTCTCTAGTTCACAGGTAAACTGTAATTCTTCATTGGTTTCCCTGCATGTTGCTTGCAGTTCACAGTTATTTTCTTCGCATGAGGATTGCATGTGTTCATTTCCTTGGTCACATATTGACTCTGATTCTTGATTCATTTCGTGTGGGTTTTGTAATCCTTCATTTTCGTGTTCCAATGTGATTTGTGATTCATTTTCTTCCTCACTTGCAGATTCTGTCTGAGAATATACATTCTCAATAATGCTGTTTTGGTCACAGGTAGTTGTGGATTCTGTATGTGATTTTCTGTTGGGTTTTCCATTACAAACTAATCCTGTTGAAGGAACTGATTGATTAGAGTACATTTCTGGGTCACAGTGGGATTGGGTTTTGTGAAGCAATTCTGTATAAGTTTCTTGAGTGTGTGAGGTCTGGGATCGAGGACTTGATTCTCTGTTATTGGTATCAAGGCTACATATATCATGAGATTGGGGGACTGACGGTTCATTCCACTTTTCTTGTTCCCTTATGAAATGGTATGTTGACTCTGGCATGTAATCATTGGATTTCATTATAGTTCCTGGCTCCCCATGGCCAGCTATCAGGCTGTATGTCAACTGGAGCTCAGGATAAAGATCCTCGTCATTTTCTTGGGTACTTGGTGTTGACAGTCGATGATTAGGTTCTTCACACTCTGTTCCTTCAATACAAAGTGATAAAGATTGAACCTCTGATTCTATGTACTCTGTGTACTCATGTTTTTGTTCCCAGGTGGAATGGCACACAGGGTCTGTGTTATTATTTAATGTTTTTTTACATAGTGCTGTGGATAAAGTTACTAACTCTTCATAATCCGCTGCTGGGCACTGAGAATCAGAACCTTCGTCAACCATTTGCATGGATTTTTGATCCACTGATTGATGGTCTGACCCTTCAAAGTCCATTTCTGGATCATATATTGATCTGGATGGAATGTCTAATACTTTGTAATCATTTTCCTGTTGCCATGTGAACTGTGATTGGCAGCCTGACTGTCTATGAAGGTCTTGTTCGCTGGTGGATTTGGATTCGTGATGCAGTTCTTCCCTGTTTTCATGTGCGTTTGTAAAAGACAGTTCGGGTTGCATTTTCTCAGTGTTTTCTTCATCATTTAAGATATGAGAGTCTCTGTTGTTTTGTTGTTCATGCATGAACTGTAAGTCACAATTGTCTTGTTCATTTGTAAATTGTGATTCGCCGGTGATTTCTTCACATGCTGATTGCATTTCATCATTTTCTTCACGTAAATTTTGAAATACATTGTCTTCATACAGGGATGGTGATTCATTAATATTTTCATGTTCATTTGTGGATTGGGATTCACAGTTTTCTTGTTCATCTGGGAATTGTGATTCACTGGAGTTTTCTTGCTTAAATGTGAATTGGAATTCAGTTCTCAATTCATCATTGGTTTCTTCAAATGATGTTTGTAGGTCACAGGTATTTTCTTCACATGGGGATTGGAATTCATGTTCATTTTCATACTTTAACATGATTCATCGTTCTCCTTTTCTCTTGTGATATGTGATTCATCACTGTCTTGTTCACATCTGGATTTGAGTTCAGAATATATATCATCAGATTTCAGAATACAAATTCCTTTTGACTGAGGAACTGGTTGATCAAAGGATAATGCTGGGTCACACGTGGACTGAGATTGGTGATGTGATTCTTTGTAACTGTCTTGAGTGTGTTGGAACTGGGACTGAGGACTCGACTCTTTTGTTTACTTTCAAGACTCCATGCATCAAGAGGCTGAGGAAGTAAGTGATCACACCCGTGTTCTTCTTCCCTTATGGTATGGTGCGGTACATCTGGCAAGCAATCATTGCATTTCAAAATAGGGGCTGAGTCCTCATAGTCAACTGCTGAGCTGTATATCGACTGGAGCTGAGGATAAGGTTCCTCATCATTTTCCTGGGTATTTTTTATTAGGGATGAATAATATGACTTTTTATCCTCAGTTTCATGTAGCCATAGTAACTGAGATTGAAGGTCAGACCCTTTGTTATCAATTTCATTGTTAGAGATTGACTGAACGTGAGAGACAGGATGATAAACCATCGTTCCTTTTCTGAAGAGAAATAGTACTCATTATCAGAGTTATCTTTGTTAACTTTTATACATGTTAGTGTATATGAAGGGACCGTCTCTTCATGCTTAGCTGCTTGGTCACTTGTTATATGGTGCACAGGATCACTTCCTTCATCAGTGACTTCGTGGTAGATTTCATCCTGTGATAGAGGCTGTGACTCTTCATGTTCGGTTTCTTGATCGTGTATTGATTTGGAATGAATGTTTAATGCTTGGTACTCATTTTCTTGATGCCTTATGAATTGGGAATAGCAGCTTAACTGTCCAAAATGATCTTCTTCACTTGTGGGTTTGGATTCGTGATGCAGTTCTTCAGTGTATTCGTGTTGCAACTCAGTCTTTGCATGATCACTAGTGTTGTGGGAGTTGTTGTTGTTGTCTTGTTGAACTATTGATTGTAATTCAACACTTACTGGTTCAAATATTGGTTTTAATTCGTCATCTATCTTTTCAAATACTAATTGTAATTCATTGTCTTCCTCTTCACACTCGATCTGGAAGCCATGATTGTCTTCTGCATGTGTATGCTGTGATTCGGTTTTCATTTCTTTACATGATGACTGTGATTCAACATTTTCTTTGTCGATTGTGGATTGTGGGTCGTTATTTTCTTCTTCATGCAGGAAATGTGATTCAGGGACACTTTCTTGATTAAACGAGAACTGGGATTCATTCCTAGATTCATCGTTTCTTTCTTGTTCACACGTATGCTGCAATACTTCGTTATTTTCCTCACACGGTGATTGCAGGTCATAATTATTTTCTCGTTCACATAGGGACTGACAATCGTTAATATTTTCTTGTTCGTGTACTGACCGTATTTTGTGATTCCTTCTTTGTACACATGTATAATGCAATTCGCCATTATTTTCTTCACAGTTGGATTGTGATTCATGTTTTTCTTGTTCATTTGCGATTTGTGATTCGTCATTTTCTTGTTCACTTGTGAATTGTAATTTATCATTTTCTAGGTCACTTGCGGATTCCATCTGAAAAAACACACTTTCATTAATGGTCTTTGGATCACATTGGCTTATGAGTTCATTACATGATATTCCAGTTAGTTTTTGTGTACAAATGAAATGGTTTAGAGGAACTGATTGATCAAAGTATATTTCTTGGACACACGGGAATCGGGATTTGGGAAGGGGATCTGTGTAAATTCTCGTGTGAGTGAGGTCTGGGATCGAGAAATTAATGCTTTGTTAATAGTATCAGGGCTGCATATATCATGAGACAGAATCTGACTGTTCATACCAGTTTTCTTGTTCTCCTATGGAATGGTACGTTGGATCTGGCATGAGGTCGATGGATTTCAGTGTAGGGGCTGACTCTTCATAGTCACTCCTGGGCTGTAGGTCGCCTGCAGCTGAGGGTAAAGTTCCTCGTCATTTTCCTGGGCACTTCTTGTTGGGAACAAATTATCTGATTCTTCAAACTCACTAACTTGTCCATGTAGTGACTCAAATTCATTGTAACCGTTTTCACTGTCTGAAAATGGATTGTAACTCAGGTACTGACTGTTCTTGTTCCCAAGTAGAACAGTGCTCAGGTACTGGATTATCAGTGTTTACGTTTCTAAATGTTAGTCTAGATGATGGAACTGACTTCTCATATGTAGCTACTTGGTCATACATTGCCCGGTACTGATGCTCATTTCCTTCATTAAGCAACTTCATAAGTGCTTAGATCCTGTGATAGGCTCTTGGACCCTTCATACTCAGTTTCTGGAACATATGATGAGTGGAATGGAATGTCTAGTGGTATATAATCATCTTCTTGGGGCCATATGAATTCTGATTGCCAGTCTGACTGCCCATAATGGTCCTGTTCACTTGGGGATTGTGTTTCGTGATGTGACTCTTCATTGTTCTCATGTTCACCTGGGAAAGAATGTTCAGTTTGTAACTCCTCATTATTTTCTTGATCACTTGTGGAGTAGGAGTCGCCATTGTTTTTTTCTCTCCCAGCAAAGTAAGTGTCATAGTTGTCTTGTTTGTTTGTGACTGGTGATTCTTCGTTGATTTCTTCAGATGTTGACTGTGAATCATCATTTTCTTCTTCGCTTGCATCTTGGGATTCATCATTTTCTTGTTCACTTGTGATTTGTGATTCATCATTTTCTTGTTCACTTGTGATTTGTGATTCATCATTTTCTTGTTCACTTGAGGACTGGGACTCATCACTTTCTTCTTCACATATGAATTGTGAATCAGCAACGTGCGAATCATCACTGTTTTCTTGTTTACGTATTGACTGTGATTCATGAGCGTTTTCTTGTACACATGTAAATTGCAATTCATCACTATCTTCACTGGTGTACGAATCATCATCTTTTCCTTGTTGAGATGTTGATTCCGATTCATCAGTTTCTTGCTCTCTCGTGAACTGAGAATCATGATTGTCTTGTTCATTCGTAAGCTGTGATTCTTCTGCCATTTCTTCACTTGTTGACTCTGATTCATCATTTTCTTCATATGTTCCATCCATGGCATCATCATTTTCTTGTTCCCTTGATGACTGTGATTCATCATTCTCTTCTTCGCAGGCATCTTGAGAATTATTTTCTTCCTGGCGCGAAGAATATAATTCCCTGAACTTGTCTTTCCAAAATGCTGTTTGAACTTCATCCTTGTCTTGTTCATACATGTTATTGTCTTCATGTTGTATTTCATCCTTGTCTTGTTCATACATGTTATTGTCTTCATGTTGTATTTCATCCTTGTCTTGTTCATACATGTTATTGTCTTCATGTTGTATTTCATCCTTCTCTTGTTCATACATGTTATTGTCTTCATGTGATATTTCATCCTTTCTTGTTCATACATGTATATGTCTTCATGTTTATTTCATCGTGCTTGTTCACACATGTTATTGTCTTCCCTGTGGTATTTCATCCTTCTCTTCTTCTTGTTTTGTCTTCATGTTTGATTTCATTTCCCTTGTTTTTTACATGTGATTGTCTTCATTTTCGTTTTTACATCTTGTTGTGATTCATCGTTTTCTTCATGTGTATTGTCATCTTGTCTTGTTCTACATGTTGGTTAGCTGAATTCTTCGTTTTCTCTGTCATCTGTATTTGATTCTTCGTCTTTCTTCACAGCTGATCTGTGTTTTTTTTCTACATGTGTGAAAGGAATCATCATCTGTTTTCTTCGTTGTGAATATTTCTTGACATGTGGATTGTGAATTCTCGTTTTCTTACTATGTGGTATTTAAATTTTCTTTCTTCTATAGGGATGTGATTCTTTGTTTTCTTTACTTTGGAAATTCGTTTTATTTTTGGTAATGTATTGTGTATTCTTCGTTTTCTTGATTTGGATTATGTTTCTATCGTTTCTTGACATTGTTATTGTAAGTGTCTTGTATTTCTCTTGAATTGTGGATTGTGATTCTGTTGTCTTTGGCTTGTGTGGGATTGATTGTATTGTTACTTCGATTTCTTGAACATGTGGAATTGTGATTCTTTCGTTTATCTTGACATGTGGATTTATTCATTTAATCTTCCTGGGCATGTGGAAGTGGAATCATCATCTTTTACTGGTGACATTGCTGGAAGTGAGAATAATTCATTTTTCTCACTGGTAATTGTGAAATGCGAATCATATTTTCTTTCTATTGGCATGTTGGGAATCAGAATATTATAACTTATGGGTTTCATGCATGGTGTGTGAATCATTAAGTCTTCTCAATCTTTTGGACTGTGATTAAAATTATCTTCTTCGTATGGGACGTGATTCGCTTTTGTTTTCATGTTGCTTTCTGGACCACAATTCGTAATTTAATTTTTGGTAAATATATTGCGATTCGCTATTCTGAAGTTTTTCTGTGGATTTCGATTCACTGTTTTCCTGTTTATCTGTTTCTTGTTCTCGTTTTAATTGTAATGCGTCATTGTATTGTTCATATGATGATTGTGATGAGTGATTGTTTTCTGGTTTGTATTTGGCTTGGTGTTGAGGGATTGATTGTATTGTATTACTTTCGATGTTGCTTGGGGAAGCATATAGCGCATCATACCCCTCAGTGTTCTCTTGGATGTATATATGCTGAGAATGTTGATTTATATCATATAAATCACTTTCGCTAGGGCATGTTGGCTGGAAGTGAGAATCATACAAATCTTTCTCACTGGGGCATGTTGGCTGGAAGTGAGAATCATGCAAATCTTTCTCACTGGGGCATGTTGGCTGGAAGTGAGAATCATTTAAATCTTTCTCACTGGGGCATGTTGGCTGGAAGTGATAAACGAGATCAATATTAAATCTTTCTCACTGGGGCATGTTGGCTGGAAGTCAGAATCATTTAATCTTTCTCACTGGGGCATGTTGGATGGACGTCAGAATCATTTAAATCTTTCTCACTGGGGCATGTTGGCTGGAAGTCAGAATCATTTAAATCTTTCTCACTGGGGCATGTTGGCTGGACGTCAGAATCTACATTGTTAATACCAGTTTCATAATCTTCAGCAGGTTTGAATCTCTGGTTTAGCTCAGTTGTATAGTTTCGTATAGTTTCCAGTCTTGGGTTTGACTCCACATGAGTGCCAGTTGTATAGTCTTGTGTAGGTTTGAAATCTTGGTATATACTCACATCAGTACCAGTTTTAAAGTCTCGTATACATTCGGTACTCGAGTTGGACTCTCTAGCAGTACTAGATTTATAGTCTTGTCTACGTTTGGTACTCTGGTTTATTTTCATTTCAGTACCAGTCCTGTTTTCTTGTCTAATTTTATATTTCATGTTTGTCTCCAGATAATTACCAGTTGTGTAGCGTTTTGTAGGTTTAAAATTTGGGTTTATCTTCATGTCACTACTGGTTGTATAGTTCTGTGTAGTTTTGAAATTCATGTTTGACTTTACGTTGTGATATTTTTGGTAATGTATTGGTTGGTAAAGTATTGGTTGGACTTCAATATATGAGCCAAATAGATATTTTTCTGGACGATGAACTGATGGGTAGGTACGGCTCATTTCCTTGTAAATTTCGTGATTTCTTATGGAATCATCTTTTTTATTTACCTTGTTCCTGTATTTAGGGCGCTTTTGTTTGTAATAGTCATCCTGGTTAATTGTAGCTTGGGAATCAATGTTGGACTCATCTGTACAGTTTTCTTCGTGACGCAGCGGCTGTGCTGGTGTGTTTGATGTCTTCAATGTTTCAACGTCATTCCCTTGGTCACGTTTAAGCTGGGACTGTTCTTGTACCTTTTCGTTGTTTATGTCATTCTCTTGGTTACGTTTAAGCTGGGACTGTTCTTGTACCTTTTCGTTGTTTATGTCATTCTCTTGGTTACGTTTAAGCTGGGACTGTTCTTGTACCTTTTCATTGTTAGTTTCATGATCACACTTAGCTTTATTATTTGCCTTCACTTTAATAAACTCCAGGTAGCAAGGTCTGTGGAAGCCGTCTCTCTTAGCATCATAGTAGAGGCTAGGAATGGACTCACACTGCTGAGCGTGACTCTCTTCTCCTCCCAGTTGGGTTCGAAGCTTCTTACATTCTATAAGCTTACTGTAACTTTTGTCAGTGAGCAGAATTATCCCAGAGTTTGTTGGCGTCTTGAGGCCGAGGTAGTGAACCACACATCGAGGATCCGTCTCAGACCTGACGGGTAGTCTGTCTTCTACAGCATCTGAAACAAGAGGAATAAAAAGTTAAATTCTGAAATATAGTTTTAGCACTGGGGCAGCTGATGTGGCAGTGAAATTTACAGGCTTAAATTCTAAAGACCCATATGGGTCACGCAGCATCTGGAGAGTGGAAGAGGTGGATGATAATAAAGAAGCAAGAAAGAGGAACAGAGCTGCAATTCCCTTGATCAAGAGCCCCTCACCAGCATCGACAGCCTTCCCTTGCAGGGTGAGACTATAGGACAGGGTAAGATGACAGCAACATCCATGGTGTCATCACAACAGAGGAAGAAATGAGAATTATGTATAGTACATACCGTGGGTACAACACTGTCGCACTCTGAAGAGTACAACACTGTCGTGCTCTGAAGAGTACGAGGCGTTAGGGAACGAATTTTTTACTAGTGACTCGAGTGATTTGACTCAAGGAGCAAATATGATGATATCACTCTATAAGACAACGATGTCACTCCCTAAGACGACGCTGCCACTCCCAAGACGACGATGTCACTCTCGAAGATAAGAGTTGTCAGGTAAGAGGACACAATTGCAACTAATGTAACATTTTATTGTGGCAACGTTTCACTCTCCAGGAGCTTTATCAAGCTTGATCATCTCACATTTTGTTGACTTCCCATGTGGATCTACATGACGTACTGGCCACAGTACCGAAAAAAAAACTCTGGCAACAGCCTTGGGAAAGTTCTTCCACCTGTTTAGATATCATGTCAAGACTGACAGATATCTAAACATTGTATATTATTTAAGACAGAGGATTAGCATTGTAATCAAAAGTACATATATGTCTGGAATAATTTATTCATTATCTATTCAAAAATTGTTTCAATGTTTACCTGGAGAGAGTTCCAGGGGTCAACGCCCCCGCGGCCCGGTCTGTGACCAGGCCTCCTGGTAGATCAGAGCCTGATCAACCAGGCTGTTACTGCTGGCTGCATGCAAACCAACGTAATATTTTTGAAAAAATGATTCACGTGGATAGAAGAAAAATATATAACTTTTTTCACAAATGCAAAACTCACTTAAAAGTGAAGAATTTACACAATAAAAAAAAGGTACATACTTAATATTGACCAAAATTTTGTCTTATATATTAAAGTTAGATTTATTAAACATATTGGTTTACCACATAAAACTTGGAGTTAGTTGAAGACAGGTTTTATAAAAAGGGAATAAGAAGAGAAAATTTATGCTACAGTTTGGCAATGTAGGTCAAGGTCATCCTTGAGTGTATGAGGCTGAGGTTATACTCATTCCTTGTTATATTCTCAAATTAAAACACTGCGGATAAAGAGAATCTACTCAGTATATCGTTGTTAAAGTCTTCCTGTAAAAACACCATATACAGTGGATCCCCGCATAACGATATTAATCCGTTCCTGAGAGCTCATTGTTATGCGAAATCTTAGCGATAAAATGTATCGGTATGCGGATTTAACGTTATGTGATGCCAACAGTATGCGGGGGTCCACTGTATTAGTCTTTTTAAAAATTTTGGTGGCAGTCCACAGGAGGATTACTTATTTTATTGATAATCCACAAGAGGATTAATCTTATTAATTTTACAGTAGCACTCCATCTCATAATTAATCCCATTCATTTTATCACGTTAATTCATATCAGGATTAAAATTGCCGGGTCTACACTTGCAATGCACTATTGATAATTACAAAAACACACGAGAAAGCTCATATGACTAAAATAAATTAATTAACCTTTGATAAGGTCAGCCGTCCATGCAGGGTCGTGAGTCGTGTATATGTGTGGTCGTCCACCATGATGTCTGTAGTTCCACTCTGCTACTCCCCAGCCTTTCCTTCCATTTATCCTGAGAAATATGCAGTTTTATGAAATGGGGTAAACCAGTGGAAGGCCTCGGTCAGATGACTAAAAGCTCCATCTGTGGGTCATCATATAACTAAAACCCTCATCAGGAAACACTTGTCCTGTTTCCTGACCATCCTGACCTAACCTGAGGAATATACAACACGTTTGTAAATATCAGTGACAAGATTTAAACTCACATTTATCCTGACAAAAATTTCGTATCATTTACCCATGAGGACAACAAAGGAAGCAATATAAATGAGTCAGCTTTCTTATTTGAAGAAAAAACTATATTATAGCTGATAAAATTAACGGTAAAAATCTTTATTATGCACCTCTTACCTATCCTGTGGGCGGTAGTCAAAAGATTACAGAGGTACATAATGGGCCCAGGGACTGTACCTCAACATTACAGAGGTATATAATGGGTCCAAAGGTAATGAACTCCAGGTAGATCTGGTCACAATCATGGCAAGTTACAAAGGTAGTGAATCATCTACACTCTTATACCAGGTAAACTCCAGGTACATAAGTACCAAAGAGGAGAGTAAAAGTATCAGTAGGAATACCTAAATGGAATGATTGTATCCTATTATATGATGTGTATTCAGTTTGTGTTTCTCTGTGAGGTCGCAATATCCAGGAAGATCATTGTATCGGCTTGTTATTGTAGATCATAGTTATGTTGTATATCAGCAAATTGTTCATGATAACAATTTCCTGTTGAGTAGCAAATGGAAGAGAGAGTTGAACCTTGGTAATCTTGACAGTATATTTAAGAATATTGCTGCAAAAACTTTACAAAAATTCAATGTATGTCAAAGGCCCTAAAATCTGGAACACCCTACCTGAGAACTCTAGAACTGCAGACACATTCATCACCTTCAAAACTACCATTAGAAAACATCTTATCTCCCTGATACACCCCATCAACTAACTACACGAATACCACCTGGTGGTTCACACTTACACTCACTCTCCCATTTGACCATAAACAGAAATATTAATCTCAATCTTAAAATAATGAATCCTGTGATACTCCAATACTGAAACTATGTACTGTGCCAAAACAAAAGCATTCACATTGCTAAACTCACAAACTAGTATTTAGTCACTTAGCCATAATACCAACTTACCTCATAATTTGTAATATTTTAAAATAAAAAATTAAACTAAGTCTGCCCGAAATGCCTAGCCATGCTAGGCGTTCTAGTGGTACACTCTGTAATCATTATTTAACTACATGTAAACCACACAACAACCAAATTCTGTAAATTCAACATTGTAATCTTTATTGAGAATAAACTTTGAATTTGAATTTGAATTTGAACTAATTAACGAAATCATTTCATTGCTTTGTGAGTCGTGCAAGTTGACTCCGATCAACCAAAACCTTTAATTATGTATCATGGTGGTGATGCCATAACTGAGAGATCACAACTCAAAGAGTGCTGCTATCTACAGTAATATTAAACTACAACCAATCTTCAATGGGAATTTATAATGACTTATAAAATGGATAAGATCCAGGTTCCTACGTTAGTCTCCCATTCTTTACATAAACAAACAGCATTACATTTTCTCTGACCTGAAAGTGACCATTCTCTCCACTATTCTGGTCTCCCACTCCCAGCCAACGTAGAACTCCGGAGCTTCCAACACTGACACCTCCACCAGGTACTCCTTACTGCCTGTACAGGTAAAAGGTATATACATTATTATCAGTATTTACACGTAGATGAAGTGTGTGAGGTACCTTGATGCTGGTTCATGATCCAAAGATATTATTATTATTATTATTATTATTATTATTATTATTATTATTATTATTATTATTATCATAGGGCAGCATTAAACCTACTAAATGGATCATGCCAAGCCGTAGTCTCCTTAATTGGATCAAAACCGATTACTTATCATTCCCCAGGTGTTGTGACTCCAGTGAGTTTAGCGCTTTCCGTGAAGATAGCAATAAAATAATAATAATAATAATAATAATAATAATAATAATAATAATAATAATAATAATAATAATAATAATTTTTTTTCAACAAGTCTGCCGTCTCCCACCGAGGCAGTGTGACCCAAAAAACTAAGAAAATCCCCAAAAAGAAAATACTTTCATCATCATTCAACACTTTCACCACACTCACACATTATCACTGTTTTTGCAGAGGTGCTCAGAATACAACAGTTTAGAAGCATATACGTATAAAGATACACAACACATCCCTCCAAACTGCCAATATCCCAAACCCCTCCTTTAAAGTGCAGGCATTGTATTTCCCATTTCCAGGACTCAAGTCCGACTATATGAAAATAACCGGTTTCCCTGAATCCCTTCACTAAATATTACCCTGCTCACACTCCAACAGATCGTCAGGTCCCAAATACCATTCGTCTCCATTCACTCCTATCTAACATGCTCACGCACGCTTGCTGGAAGTCCAAGCCCCTCGCCCACAAAACCTCCTTTACCCCCTCTCTCCAACCCTTTCGAGGACGACCCCTACCCCTCCTTCCTTCCCCTATAGATTTATATGCTTTCCATGTCATTCTACTTTGATCCATTCTCTCTAAATGACCAAACCACCTCAACAACCCCTCTTCTGCCCTCTGACTAATGCTTTTATTAACTCCACACCTTCTCCTAATTTCCACACTTCGAATTTTCTGCATAATATTTACACCACACATTGCCCTTAGACAGGACATCTCCACTGCCTCCAACCGTCTCCTCGCTGCTGCATTTACCACTCAAGCTTCACACCCATATAAGAGTGTTGGTACTACTATACTTTCATACATTCCCTTCTTTGCCTCCATAGATAACGTTTTTTGACTCCACATATATCTCAACGCACCACTCACCTTTTTTCCCTCATCAGTTCTATGATTAACCTCATCCTTCATAAATCCATCCGTCGACACGTCAACTCCCAAGTATCTGAAAACATTCACTTCTTCCATACTCCTCCTCCCCAATTTGATATCCAATTTTTCTTTATCTAAATCATTTGATACCCTCATCACCTAACTCTTTTCTATGTTCACTTTCAACTTTCTACCTTTACACACATTCCCAAACTCATCCACTAACCTTTGCAATTTTTCTTTAGAATCTCCCATAAGCACAGTATCATCAGCAAAAAGTAACTGTGTCAATTCCCATTTTGTATTTGATTCCCCATAATTTAATCCCACCCCTCTCCCGAACACCCTAGCATTTACTTCTTTTACAACCCCATCTATAAATATATTAAACAACCATGGTGACATTACACATCCCTGTCTAAGACCTACTTTTACCGGGAAGTACTCTCCCTCTCTTCTACACACCCTAACCTGAGCCTCACTATCCTTATAAAAACTCTTAACAGCATTTAGTAACTTACCACCTATTCCATATACTTGCAACATCTGCCACATTGCTCCTCTATCCACTCTATCACATGCCTTTTCTAAATTCATAAATGCAATAAAAACTTCCCTACCTTTATCTAAATACTGTTCACATATATGCTTCAATGTAAACACTTGATCTACACATCCCCTACCCACTCTGAAGCCTCCCTGCTCATCCCCAATCCTACATTCTGTCTTACCTCTAATTCTTTCAATAATAACCACATACCGTATACTTTTTCCTGGTATACTCAGTAAACTTTTCCTCTATAATATTTTTTACAATCTCTTTTGTCCCCTTTCCCTTTATATAAAGGGACTATACATGCTCTCCGCCAATCCCTAGGTACCTTCCCCTCTTTCATACATTTATTAAACAAAAGTACCAACCACTCCAACATTATATCCCCCCCTGCTTTTAACATTTCTGTCATGATTCCATCAGTTCCAGCTGCTTTACCCCTTTTCATTCTATGTAATGCCTCACTTACCTCCCCCACACTTACATTCTGCTCTTCTTCACTCCTAAAAGATGGTATACCTCCCTGACCAGTGCATGAAATTACTGCCTCTCTTTCTTCCTTAACATTTAAAAGTTCCTCAAAATATTCTCGCCATCTACCTAATACCTCCATCTCCCCATCTACTAACTCCCCTACTCTGTTTTTAACTGACAAATCCATACTTTCCCTAGGCTTTCTTAACTTGTTTAACTCACTCCAATTTTTTTTCTTATTTTCATTAAAATTTCTTGACAGTGCCTCTCCCACTCTATCATCTGCTTTCCTTTTGCACTCTCTCACCACTCTCTTCACCTTTCTTTTACTCTCCATATACTCTGCTCTTCTTATAACACTTCTGCTTTGTAAAAACCTGTCATAAGCTACCTTTTTCTCTTTTATCACACCCTTTACTTCATCATTCCACCAATCACTCCTCTTTCCTCCTGCCCCCACCCTCCTATTACCACAAGCTTCTGCCCCACATTCTAATACTGCATTTTTAAAACTATTCCAACCCTCTTCAACCCCCCCACTACTCATCTTTGCACTAGCCCACCTTTCTGCCAATAGTCGCTTATATCTCACCCGAACTTCCTCCTCCCTTAGTTTATACACTTTCACCTCCCTCTTACTTGTTGTTGCCACCTTCCTCTTTTCCTATCTACCTCTTACTCTAACTGTAGCTACAACTAAATAATGATCTGATATATCAGTTGCCCCTCTATAAACATGTACATCCTGGAGCCTACCCATCAACCTTTTATCCACCAATACATAATCTAACAAACTACTTTCATTACGTGCTACATCATACCTTGTATATTTATTTATCCTCTTTTTCATAAAATATGTATTACTTATTACCAAATTTCTTTCTACACATAGCTCAATTAAAGGCTCCCCATTTACATTTACCCCTGGCACCCCAAATTTACCTACTACTCCCTCCATAACATTTTTACCCACTTTAGCATTGAAATCCCCAACCACCATTACTCTCACACTTGATTCAAAACTCCCCACGCATTCACTCAACATTTCCCAAAATCTCTCTCTCTCCTCTACACTTCTCTCTTCTCCAGGTGCATACACGCTTATTATAACCCACTTTTCACATCCAATCTTTATTTTACTCCACATAATCATTGAATTAATACATTTGTAGCCCCTCTTTTCCTGCCATAGCTTATTCTTCAACATTATTGCTACTCCTTCTTTAGCTCTAACTCTATTTGAAACCCCTGACCTAATCCCATTTATTCTTCTCCATTGAAACTCTCCCACCCCCTTCAGCTTTGTTTCACTTAAAGCCAGGACATCCAGTTTCTTTTCATTCATAACATCCACAATCATCTCTTTCTTATCATTTGCACAACATCCACGCACGTTCAGACTTCCCCACTTTGACAATTTTCTTCTTATTATTCTTTTAGTAATCTTTACAGGAAAAGGGGTTAAACTAGCCATTGTCCCGCATTTTAGTTGACTTTTACAACACGCATGGCTTACGGAGGAAAGATTCTTATTCCACTTCCCCATGGATATATAAATAAACGTGTGCATGTACGTTTTAGTGTGACCTAAGTGTAAGTAGAAGTAGCAAGACATGCCTGTAATCTTGCATATTTATGAGACAGACAAAAGACATCAACAATCCTACCATCATGTAAAACAATTACAGGCTTTTGTTTTACACTCACTTGGCAGGACGGTAGTATACCTCCCTGGGTGGTTGCTGTCTACCAACCTTCTGTATATATATATATATATATATATTAATATATATATTATAGATATATATATATATATAATAAATATATATTTATTAATATATATATGATATAATAATAATAATAAGATAATTACTCATAATCAAAATATGTAATTAGAATGCCTCGTATTAAATACTTAACACTGGTTAATGGATTGAACCTATCAGCTCCCCGATGGCAACCTCTCGTGTATAAACAGCAAGGGGATACTTTTGTTTAACAAAAGGATTGGAACCTCTCAGTGTATATACAGCGAGAGGATGGCACCTCTCAATGTATATACAGCGAGAGGATGGCACCTCTCAGTGTATATACAGCGAGAGGATGCACCTCTCAGTGTATATACAGCGAGAGGATGGCACCTCTCAGTGTATATACAGCGAGAGGATGGCACCTCTCAGTGTATATACAGCGAGAGGATGGCACCTCTCAGTGTATATACAGCGAGAGGATGGCACCTCTCAGTGTATATACAGCGAGAGGATGGCACCTCTCAGTGTATATACAGCGAGAGGATGGCACCTCTCAGTGTATATACAGCGAGAGGATGGCACCTCTCAGTGTATATACAGCGAGAGGATGGCACCTCTCAGTGTATATACAGCGAGAGGATGGCACCTCTCAGTGTATATACAGCGAGAGGATGGCACCTCTCAGTGTATATACAGCGAGAGGATGGCACCTCTCAGTGTATATACAGCGAGAGGATGGCACCTCTCAGTGTATATACAGCGAGAGGATGGCACCTCTCAGTGTATATACAGCGAGAGGATGGCACCTCTCAGTGTATATACAGCAAAAGGATGGCACCTCTCAGTGTATATACAGCGAGAGGATGGCACCTCTCAGTGTATATACAGCGAAAGAATGGCACCTCTCAGTGTATATACAGCGAGAGGATGGCACCTCTCTGTATATACAGCGAGAGGATGGCACCTCTCAGTGTATATACAGCGAGAGGATGGCACCTCTCAGTGTATATACAGCGAGAGGATGGCACCTCTCAGTGTATATACAGCGAGAGGATGGCACCTCTCAGTGTATGTACTCTCAGGGGTTACATTTCTCTCAGTACACATATACTGAAAGTTTACACTAATCCCTACTTTTGGCATTAAGTATTATTGTCTGGTGGTGAATAGGTCACCCTGCAGCCTTAATTAAGATCCTAGTGTAGTTAATAAGCTTCAAACACCATTAAACACCCAACTGTACAGTCTTAAATTAGTTTTTTTTAAAAGAATGGATCGGTAAGCCAGCTGAAGGCATCTGTCATATGACCAAAGCCTCCAGTGACGGGTTACCAGATGACTGAGACTCTCTTCAGAAAACATTAGTCCTGATATAAGAAACTGGAGATACATCTTTCCTTCCAGGAATCAAACTTGCTAACCTCCCATATACCCAGACGCTGTGCGACTCCTTCGGATCCAACACCTCCCAGAGGAATATATTAACTAATACTTAAATTAGAGTTTAAAACTAGTATATATTAACCTGCTACAAAGAAGAAAGCGTAGTCAGTGGGTGGGTGACCGTTCTCACCATGTTGCCAGAGTGGGAGTTCAACACAGGACACAGGGATCACTCTGCCTCCTCGTATACATAACCAACCTCCAGTCTGAACATGGACAAGCATTATTATTATTAGTAGTAGTATGGTTAAAATATACATTTAACATTTAGGTAAGGTAGTCAGTCCCTGAGGGGCTGATTACTTCATCTTTTGCATGTAGTTTCACTATCTTCCAGTTATGTTCTTGAATTTGTACTGATAAAGCCACTGGATGGCGAAACGTCTATAATAAAGATACCCAGATGTTGCACATGAGTCTATTTTTTCAACAAGTGAAAAGTTATGCACTTTAAAGGTCTTCAGTTTTATATATGGTTGTTGACTACACCATACTTCAATTATTATGTTCATGTGGGAAGTGATATATTCTCTGGGAGAGCGATAAACATGTATGGGTGATACAAGTATGAGGAGTCACAGAGTACCTCTTCACAACACGACGAACAGTACTCATGTTCCAACCTTAAAGTTCTTTGTTATTATTTACTGTTCTTTAAGGAGTTCTTTTAAAAAAAAAGGAGAGAATACCTTGAACCTCAGAATGCTATATAACCCTGACAAACATATTATCACTTCCCCATACATATATAAATAATATTTTTTAGCCAGATTTTAACCAGTGAAAATTTATTTGACTAGTAGGATCATATAATGAAAACAAGATGGCCACTATTAACATCATAGAGAGTGTAGATACATCTATATTGCATTGACATTAATGCTAGAATATAACAATTAACACTAGTATACAACACCTAACACCAATATATGCAGAGTGGTAGGGTAAAAAAAATTTGACTCTAGCTATAACTAATCCATATCCTTCATTTCTGCCAATTTCCCACCTTAGACAAACCTCAGCCTCATTAAGAAAACTGTTAACCAATCTGCATTATAACAATCTATGCCGTAAAGCAGGTTTAAGGTCCTAACTGAGAGCAGGTTACAGGCTGGCAGATGACGCCCACGTTGCCCTGCAGACCGTCCTCAGTGGTGAACATATGTAGTCCGTACCGGTGCATCAACTTCCACTCGCGCTTGTAACCTGCGGCAGTGGAAAACATTTGGACTTAAAATCCACTGACAGATTTAAAGCATGGTAAAGGAAATTTTAGTAAATATTCAGCCAATGCAAAGAACTGATTACTTCTCGAATTTCACTGACAAACTGAATTTTTAGACCATTCTTGTTATAAACTAAATAAGTTACTACAGCCGAGTCAACTATTCTCAAGAATCAACTTGTTCATTATTGTCAGTCAGCAAGCTAGCTGCCAGAAAGGATAACAGAAGCCACATATTTATTTTACACATTTTATATATGCAGTTATTTATTTTACGCATTTTATTAAGTGTCTCTGCTTACGACAGTGCTTTTCAGCACTATAATAATGGCACCCTGCTTACCATATTTGTGATCTCTCAAGGAATCCAGCCTGAGGACGTAGGGATGATCATCCACTACTACTGCTCCCTCCAGCCTGCCCATCTGCTCGTAGTGTGTGTGTTGAGCACTGATGGTAATAACGACAATATAAGCAAACGTAGGAACATCAGGGACAATAATTTTATTGTTTATAGGGTTGGACCGGTAAGTCAGCGGAAGGCCTCGGTCATATGACCAAAACCTCCAGTGGCGGGTCATCGTATGACTAAAACCGGTGGCCCGGTGGCCTGGTGGCTAAAGCTCCCGCTTCACACACGGAGGGCCCGGGTTCGATTCCCGGCGGGTGGAAACATTTCGACACGTTTCCTTACACCTGTTGTCCTGTTCACCTAGCAGCAAATAGGTACCTGGGTGTTAGTCGACTGGTGTGGGTCGCATCCTGGGGGACAAGATTAAGGACCCCAATGGAAATAAGTTAGACAGTCCTCGATGACGCACTGACTTTCTTGGGTTATCCTGGGTGGCTAACCCTCCGGGGTTAAAAATCCGAACGAAATCTTATCTTATCTTATCTTATCTTAACCAGCGTCAGGAAACAATTGTCCTGTTTCCTAACGAATCTTATCTAACCTATCCGGGACAAGAACTCGATACGGCATAAGCTGCTAGTAGCCCCATAAATCCACAACAACAACAAGAGGAATAAACACCTGGCAATTTGATGATAAAATCCAAATATGGACAGAAACAACAATGAGATGTGTACATTATAACTTCCTAATCAGATCCTCTTCATCTGTTTAACGTTAAAATATATACGTCTTCCCTCTTTTTCGTATTTCTGTCTACATGTGGGCTTCAGTTTCTTATATAAACAAATATTTTTAAGTGTCACTAAAATAAACCCTGGGCCTTTAAAACAAATTTTTAATACCAGGAACTTGTGGGAACCTAAACTTCTGGTGACTTTAATAACAATTTGATGGGAATAAAATAAAGCCACAAGTTGAAGAATATGTTTTTATTAGAACTATGTTTCTCTGTGTAGAATTTTATTAAGTAAAGCCTTGATAAAGCTCTATATAGATTGTAACTTGTGTCTTTGATATTGTCGGCAGTATGCCATTTTGAGCCAGTTTGATGCAAGACAGTTTCATGCATTAATGTTTTTAAATGTCCTGGTAATCTAGGTACTTTTGCAGTGGCATTCCACTATTTCTAGAATCCGATAATTGCACGTCGAGGTTCTGAAAACATCGTTACCCACTTTAAACACAGTGAAACTTATTCAATGAGGATCTGGCACTACCACTACACACACTATGTGCCACTGTACCTACTTAGCATCTAGAAGTGTTAGTACTTAATTTAGATGCCAGTACGGTAAACGTGTTAGGTGACCCGACACTTAACATGGTCCTGGAAGCACCGGTACTCAGTACTAACTCAATGGCCTAGAAGCAGTAATCACTTTAGATGATCCATTGTTTACCAAGATCGTGGAAGTACCAATACCAGCTTTAGATGATCGGACACTTACTGAGTAAAGGTACCAGTTCCCACCTTAGATGATCCATTACTCACTCGTTAAGGGTTTTGAAGTAGTCAGGAGACCAGGGCTCTCGGGCGACACTCCGGGCGAGGGCCCAGGCGCTCATGTCGCTGTCGATGTCAAGTATGCGATATGGTCCACTGTACGTCCAGCTCCACCCGGTGCCTGGACAGTGGCTCCCCTCGCAACCTAGTGCCAGCAAGTGCCAAAACACACCGTTAACCACATGAATAACACCAACTCCTGCCCAACCCGTCAGAGTCAATAAATCGCATATGGGTTCCCAAAGAAAAAAATATACCCATACACTGTACTTAGCGTTCTCCTTTGATATAAAGAATAATAATTTTGGACAAACTTTTCTGATGCAACGAAACGTTCTCGACTAAGAAATTAGAAATGAATAATAAAAATGCGCATTAGTGTTTTGTTAGTGATTGTAATAATCAAAAACACTATAATGTCAACAAAATTAATCTGATAAAGTCAGAGAATATTAGTTATACTGAAGTTCTTATTAACACCGTAATTTTCTATAACAGCCGAAACGGGTGGTACCTCCCCCCCCTCTCCTCATCTCTCTCTCTCATCTCTCTCTCTCATCTCTTCTCTCTCTCTCTCACCTCCTCTCTCTCTTTACCCTCTTTCTCTCTCTCCTCCTCTCTCTCCTCGCTCTCCTTCTCTCTCTCTCTCTCTCTCTCTCTCTCTCTCTCTCTCTCTCTCTCCCCTCAAGGAAGGTTCCTTGATGTTGGTGAGGGGCTCTTGATTTAGGGAATTGGATCTGTGCTCCAGTTCCCTGAATTAAGCCTGAATGCCTTCCACATCCCCCCCAGGCGCTGTATAATCCTCCGGGTTTAGCGCTTCCCCCTTGATTATAATAATAATAATAATCTCTCTCTCTCTCTCTCTCTCTCTCTCTATATATATATATATATATATATATATATATATATATATATATATATATATATATATATATATATATATATATATATGTATATATATATATATATATATATTATATATATATATATATATATATATATATATATATATATATATATATATATATGAATGAATGGTGTAAACTCACTTCATGGGTCCGGTATACTGCAATCTCCAGGTAGACATAGGTACGAGTGGTGTGATTTTCAAACCCTCTGCGACAAACTGGTCATCATCTCCGAACATCAGTGAGTCGGGCATCCTGGGCAGCTGCAGCAGCCCCAGGTTGGGTATCTGTGGAGTAGCAGCTCTTACCCACACGAATTTTACGCTTATTTTCAATAATTTATAACTAGATAATTTGGGTCACTGCGTAATCTGAGAAAGGTATCCTAGTATTGCATCACCACAGTCCCTTGTGTCTCACTGCATGCGAAAGGAATAGTGCAGAGTGAAGTGGAAATAAGTCACTTTGTCTGACTTTTTTTGGAGTTATCCTACGTAATCTACACATATTATGCTATGTATGATAATTTATGTAACTGTATTTATGTGTACCTCTGCCTGGTTAAGCTTACTTACAGCGTATGTTTCCAAAGCAGTTAAATATTTGCACTGAAGATTCAAAGCGAATCAGAAAAGTATCTACAAGCTATCACATGGACACTAATATCCTTCCATTCAAAATGGCAAATTAGAACATACACTCCCCTAAACTAATTTAAACCATCCACTAAGAAACACCAGCTTTAGAGCCAAGCAGAAGAGGCATTCTCTTATTATCTCAGAGGGATTATTTGTGCAACTACGCTGAAATCCTGAAGCCAATATGAAGTGACATTCTCAATTGATTACATGGAAATCACTATGCTGTTTAAATGCATATAATTAATAAAAATGTAATTTTCAGAGTCCAGTAACAATCCGAACTGGAAGTCTAAAATCGACCAGGGATGGTGAAAAAGGCAACTACAGAGAGGGACTATACCGACACGCTACGCTTGTGGACAAGCTTTGTCAGTCAATGAATTATTGAAGATTCCTGACCCTGTGAGGTCATCAAATTCAAATTTTTATGTCCTTTTAATGTTCTACAAGGATAAAATAGTTTACATTTAATAAAACATTGTTAGGCGCAAAAGAAATGCATTTCGACCCTAAAATACAGTAAGGTTATTTTACCCTGGTCTTGGTGAAGAGTGAGGTGATCTTACCCTGATGTAGAGAATACCATTGAAGACCCCACATGGTCTTCTGGCGGCGGCGGCCACGAAGAAGTGTCCATTCTGGCTGGCAGCGCTGAAGTACACAGAGTCGAAGGCCTGTTGTATACCAGACTATCTTAGTAACACATAAACCGTAAACTTAACACGGTTTTAAAACTAGGTATGATAGGGCTTGAGGAAATCTCTTACGTGTAGTTTAGAATTAGGTAAGATGTTTCAAAATTTTCTTTTCTTTTTAGCTTGATTTGTTAGATGACAACAGGAGGCAAAAATAACTATGCTAATAGCTTTTATAGATCCTTAGCTGTGTTCAAGAGGGAGCTAGACCAGCCGGGCTGTGGTTCGTACGTTGGTTTGCGTGCAGCCAGCAGTAACAGCCTGGTTAATCAGACTCTGATCCCCCGCGAGGCCTGGTCATGGACCGGGCTGCGGGGGCACTGATCCCCGGAAAAATCCTGAAGATTTGGGAGTGCTCCTCGCTTTTTCTTTAGTATCCCGTAAAATAAACTTTGTTTTCTGTTCCATATGACTGGAGTATTGTTTTCTTTGTACTGTAGCGGTAACTAAAATATTTTCTCCTTTCTCTAACACTGCATGATATTTCACCCGTGAGATCTTATAACCTTGAAAATTATGAAGGATCTCAGTTTCACTCTGTGTAGTTTTCTGTTATTACAACTTTTCACTATCGCTTTCCTTTTCTAGAAATAATACTAAGTGATTTTTTAACGTGTATGTTCAGGACCCCAATGGATTAGATTTAGATTTTGCCACCGAAGTGGCTAGTTTATTGTGCACCTCACATCCATCCTGTGGACGGTAGCGCAAGAGTATATGGATACACAAAAGACCTAGGAACTAGGACCCAAAAGGGTTAACAGGTGTACATGTGGGTTTTTATTTATCTACATATCTGCAGTTCACTTATCTGTTACTAGCAAATTTAGAAAATTTGCTTAGTATATCTGGTGACCCCATTGGAAATAAGTCAGGCTGACTTTTTTGGGTTATCTAGGTAATCTACACATATGCTGCTATTTATGATAAATGTAACTGTATTTATGTGTACCCGTACCTGAATAAAAACTTAATTAAGTCCTGGAGTGCGAGGTACATTACTTTCACTCTGAAGGAAGGTCGAGGATGTTGTAGTTCACGTAAGTAAGTTTATTCAGGTATACACGAATACAGTTACATAGAGACTAGGATAACCCAAAACAGTCATACGGACTGACTTATTTCCATTGGAGTCCTTGTTTTATGTTTTAATGAGTCACACTACCCTAGTGGAAGTTACAACCGGTCTGTGAGAGTATTGAAATCAATAATTATTGGTTTCTGTGAATTACACAGCGCCTGTTGGGGGGGATGGAAGTCGTTCAAGAGCCCTTTACCTGCGTCACGGAGCCTACCTTGAGGGGGGTTTCTGTGCAACAAATGGAAAATGCCTTGTCTAATATTATTCTACCTCTACATGAATACACACACACAGAGGAGTTGCAGTTACTCGATACATTAACGTTGGAAGCTGATGCGAAGAGACGTCCCTAAGTTATTGCACAGAAACTGTTATGCTATTTGTGCGTGTAAAAGTTGCTACATAGTATATACATAGATTAATTACAATGTGAGATATCCTTTAAGTAAGCTGAGGCGATGATGAAAGTTTGAAGCCAATCAGAAGATGTGTTCTTGAGTTATCTCACAGAAATCAAGGTGGAAAAAAATTCTGGGGATGCCAATATAACTCTTGATACAGAGCATTTGTGTGCACTAAGTTACTTTGGACTCGCTGTACGACTAAGCATTTTTTTTACTTTGATAAAATGTAACTGAAAGCGTTAAGAAACTGAGTCTGAGTGAAAGGAAACGTGAGGTATATGTCCCAGCTTATATATTTTGAGAGTTTAGTCCCTATTTTAGGCATAAAGTGTTTTTGTCTGGTGGTGAACAGGTGGCATGCAGTTAGTGGCCTCTAAACACCATCAACAATCGTCATAAAAACTGAGGGAGTAAAACGAGGATATATAGCAAACCAAGTACTATACCTTAGGATGTTGTGAGAGTTCCTGAGGAAACTCCATCATCTCTGGAGTGGAGAGAGACTTGGCGGTGGCCCCTCCATCAGCCTCGTCACCACCTCCACTATCATTTATCTGTAAACACAACTAGCGTGTCAATATCTCTCCTTGTACTGGCATTTTTGTTTGAGTGGCCGGTTAATATTAAGTGTAGATGCTTGGATTTCAGCTTAAATATGAGTTGTTTTGTAAATGTATGTATTTTCTCCAGCATTCAGAGGATATGCATGGAAGACATTTATTTTGTTAGGTTTATTTAGGTAGGTTAGTTTAGGTTAGTTTAGGTTAGGTTAGGTTAGGTTAGGTAAGGTAAGGTAAGGTTAGGTTAGGTTAGGTTAGGTTAGGTTAGGTTAGGTAAGGTTAGGTTAGGGTAGGTTAGGTAAGGTTAGGGTAGGTAGGGATAGGTTAGGTAGGGTTAGGTTAGGTGGTTAGGTAGGGTTAGGTTAGGTGGTTAGGTAAGGTTAGGTTAGGTTAGTAAGGTTAGGTTAGGTTTGGTTAGGTTAGGTTAGGTTTGGTAGGGTTAGGTTAGTTAGGTTAGGCAAGGTAAGGTTAGGATAGGTTAGGTTAGGTTAGGTTTGGTTAGGTTAGGTTAGGTTAGGTAGGGTTAGGTTAGGTTAGGTAGGGTTAGGTTAGGTTGGGTAGGGTTAGGTTAGGTTAGGTTAGGTAGGGTTAGGTTAGGTTAGGTTAGGTTAGGTTAGGTTAGGTAAGGTTAGGTTAGGTTAGGTTAGGTAAGGTTAGGTAGGGTTAGGTTAGGTTAGCTAAGGTAGGGTTAGTTTAGGTTAGGTAAGGTTAAGTTAGGTTAGGTAGGGTTAGGTTAGGTTTGGTTAGGTTAGGTAGGGTTAGGTTAGGTTAGGCTAGGTTAGGTTAGCTTAGACTTGGTTAGATAAGGTTAGGTTAGGTTAGGTTTGTTAGGGTTAGGCTAAGTTAGGTTAGGTTTGTTAGGGTTAGGTTAGGTTAGGTTAGGTTAGGTTTGTTAGGGTTAGGTTAGGTTTGTTAGGGTTAGGTTAGGTTAGGTTAGATTAGGTTTGGTTAGGTTAGGCTAGGTTAGGTTAGGTTAGACTAGGTAAGGTTAGGTTAGGTTAGGTTTGTTAGGGTTAGGTTAGGTTTGTTAGGGTTAGGTTAGGTTATCAGCATAGCTGCTGATCCCCTACATGTGTTGTATAGCTTATCTGAGTACCACAGTTAGCACCATCCATATGTTTTACATACACGATCCCTTGCAGGCCTAGGGACTAGTTTGTGTTACGTCACGTGATTCGCATGTGTGCCTGAGTACCTCTGTAACGCCCTCAGTTACAGTTAGACCTACCGAGCAGCAGCACGCAGGCTGGGCCTCCCTTACCACAGTCTGATAATATAGTGTTACCAACCGACCAGCTATAACCATCTATTCTCCAACGAACCCCGACGACAAGGTTAGGTTAGGTTTGTCAGGAAACAAGACAATATTTAGGTACAGGTACACATAAGTAATTATGCAAATTTAGGCGATTACAAAAAAAAAAAAGTCGGACAAATGACTTATTCCCATCGAAAAAAAAATTTTGACTGGTAAATTAACCTAACCAAAGGTAATTTAACCTAACTTTAAATTAGGTTAAAATAAGTTATAATTTTACATAAGGTTTTGTTACCAAAAACCAGTTATTATTCGTACTTAGCCAAAATATTAATGTCTCCCTCGCACAACTCAATATTAAAAAATACATAATAAGAAATGGGCATCTAAACTCGACATTGACCGAATGGATTAATACATATGTAAGGACATGTATGAATAACCTTCATACATAAGTACAGCTCCATACATACTGGATGGAATAAACAAACTTGAAACTACGTGTCGCCTGGACATCACTTTCTCATGTCACTGACTTACCTTGAATATACCTGAAGAGGGTTTCGGGAGTCAACGTCTCAGCAGTCAAGTCTGAGACCCCTGACATTTATTGTGTTGTCTCAGTTTACTCGTGGCTCCCCTGCTTTTCATTGGGGGAATATTGCACCGCCTACAGAGTCTTTTGCTTTCATACGGAGTGATTTTCGTGTGCAAGTTTGGTACTAATCACTCTAGGATTTTCCAGGTGTATATTAACATGTATCTTTCTCGCCTGCATTCCAGGGAATACAAATCAAGGGACTTCAACTATTCCCAGTAATTTAAATGCTTTATCGTACTTATGTGCGTCGTTAAAGTTCTTTGCACACTCTCCAGCTCAACAATTTCGCCTCTCTTGAAGGAAGCAGTTAGTGTACAGTAGTACAGCCTAGACAGAAGAAGCGATTTGAAGAGAATTATCATGTTCTTCGTGTCCCTAGTTTTGAAGGTTCTCATTATCCATCCTATCATTTTTGTAGCAGATGCGGCAGATACATTGTTATGGTCTTGGAAGGTGAGATCCTCTTACATTATCATTCCCAGGTCCTTCACATTTACGTTTTCGCTCTATTGTTTGATTAGAATTTGTTGTAT